ACCGGCATGTTGCCCAGGCTCCCAGTCAGTGCTCCCTGACTGGTCAACCAGCGTCAGTGCTCCCTATCTGTTCAACCAGCATGCCACTGAAGCTCCTGCAAGTGCTCCCTGACTGCTCTACCAGCATGTTGCTCAAGCTTCCAGTCAGTGCTCCCTGACTGGTCAACTAGCATGCTGCTCAAGCTCCTGCGAGTGCTCCCTGAGTGTTCTACCAGCATGCTGCTCAAGCTCCTGTGAGTGCTCCCTGACTGGTCAACCAGCATGCTGTTCAAGTTCCTGCGAGTGCTCCTTGACTGTTTTACCAGCATGCTGCTCAAGCTCCCAGTTAGTGCTCCCTGACTGCTCTACCAGCATGTTGCTCAAGCTCCCAGTTAGTGCTCCCTGACTGTTCTACCAGCATGCCGCTCAAGCTCCCAGTTAGTGCCCCTGACTGGTCAACCAGCATGCTGCTCAAGCTCCCAGTCAGTGCTCCCTGACTGCTCTACTAGCATGCTGCTCAAGCTCCTGTGAGTGCTCCCTGACTGGTCAACCAGCATGCTGTTCAAGCTCCTGTGAGTGCTCCCTGTTTTACCAGCATGCTGCTCAAGCTCCCAGTTTGTGCCCCTGACTGGTCAACCAGCATGCTGCTCAAGCTCCCAGTTTGTGCTCCCTGACTGGTCAACCAGCATGCTGCTCAACCTCCTGCGAGTGCTCCCAGCTTCACTTGTCCTGCGGTAATTACCAAGTTGGCTCCTTGGACATGTTATTAAACCTCGAGGTATCTTAGTGTTCTCCTGTGTAAAATGGGCTTTTAGTGTCTACAGCAGCATCCCAGAAAACGAGCAAATGGAAGACCAAAATGGAGGCCTCTTGTGCCACTATCGTCCACCCCAGTGGTCTGGTGGTTACTTTGGGACTATGTGAGGAGGGAGAAGGGTAGACACAGAGAATCCAGGGGAAGGGACAGGTACTTCCTGGAGCCATCTTGGGAATGCCCTTCTGGAGGCTGATCCACCCACCTGGAAAGTCAGGCGGGAAAAGATGAACCAGGGGTATGTGCTGGCTCTCTGGGCCAACAGAGGCCATCCTCCGTGTCCTCAAAGGATGCCTTTTCCAGACATGAGCTCCCCTGTGACATTCAAACTCAAGGCCACAGACTTGTCCCAGGAGTATGTGTGTGGTCCTTAAAGCATGCCTGGTAACCTCTTGTTGGTCTTCCTGAAGGGGGGGGGTGGCCCGATGGCCCTGATTTTCTTCCCCGTCCCTTCCCCAAAGGCAGCCTGCGGACAGAAAAAGTGGCCAAACGCGGATGGCAAAGTGGTTGCTTGAAGACACCTGGGTCGGTTGGGCCAAAGCATTCTCCGGCTGCTGTCTCAGCACACAGGCGCCCCCGGTCCTCCCCGTCCTCCCAGTGCCCGCGCCCTTGGCGGGCCCCTTGGCAGTCTTGTCCCCACATCCGGGGTCTCCGTGCCCAGGACCTTGGGCCGCGCGTCCCCGGGGCTCTGCGCGCGCCCAGGTGCCTGACC